TTTCGGGGAATATTTTTTTAATCTCTTGTTTTTCGTTTCTGTCTAATCAGCTGCACTTTTGGTAGCGATTCACGTGGTTAGAATGAGTGGGCAGTGGAAAAGGTAGCCGAATTTCACGGGTAAATACTGAGTTGAGTGGCTATTCATCACCTGCAATATATTAACCATCTTCGAAAGAACAAAAGAGGCAAGGAGTACAGTAAAAGGCGTGGCCTGGGTTAGAGAGGAGCCCAATGTGTCAGGTAGTCATAGACTCAAGTAGTACAACAAGAGTACATCTTTCTCACTCCGAATCTTGTCATCTCATAAATTTTGAGAGCTGCCAATCCCTCTCGCTTTGCCCTATCGTTGCTATAACCCTAACCATGGACGCCGAGTATGCTTCGAAGAGTTCAAAACTAAGCCAACGATTTTGTGCCCTTTTTTTGAATTCTCTAGTTGATATGGTAACGAAATGTCGTTCGTATTTCGTCCGTGGTGATTCGTCGCGAGTCGATTTGGTGGTTGGCCGGGCTGAGGTACATGCAAATATAAGGCTAGCACTTCGATCTTACCTTAAGTTCGTGACAGTTGCGAAGAAATGGATGTCTCATTTTTTATTTTTTTATTCATTAACGTGCTATGTATAGTGATTCCTGTTGCACTCCTACTGGAGCTTAAGCATGGGTGGGACCGGGCCGGATCAGGTTATCTACCGTAAAGTACAAGTGCCTCGTCCCACCTCAGACTTCACCCATGTGTTAAATCATGTCAAGCCTAGCCGTCCAGAGAACCCCCTTTTGACGCGCCGAAGCGCAAATTCCTCCTCAGCCTCGACCACCACTCGCCCGAGCCCTTGACATCCTCATTGACTCCGAAATATAAATGTAGTCCTAGATCTCATCGTTACTCCAGCCTTGCACCTTCATATCGTACCATTAGGTTGTTGTCGTCATTGGTGATTTGTGTAATCCCCTCGGTGTATCTTCCCTTTTATTCCTCCTTTGTATACGTCCCGTTTACACCATGACTTTCCTTAGTGGGGCCTGTGTAGTTAGGAGATGTGACAAGTATGGAAGTGGGTCGCAGGTGTAGAATAAAATGAGGAATGCTTTGTCGAAAATACATAAGCAGTTTGAGAGAAGTCGGATGTTTGAATAAGACCGACAGACAGACCTAGGTCCATTCATGAATCGTATGTTGGTGGTGATGAGTTTTTAATTGACTTTGTTACGGCTGTGAAACCTCTGCCGACTGATTTTTCGACCAAAATATCGGACGCAACTCCTTCAAGTCGAAAATCCATCAAATAAAACTCACCCCACCCATTTTAGTGACTGGATGTTGGCTCTGGAAGAATATTTAACTCCCAAGTTCGTGGAGGACACCACTGATAGGTGTTCAGCCTTCTTCCTCCATGGATGTCTCGTCACTTATATTGTGACTTTTTATTGTCGGGGTGCTTTGATTGGTTGGATGATGATGAGAGAGAGGGTCGAGAGATAGAATTAGCTGAGAAAGATCTTTCACCAAGAATTGAGATGGTGAAATCTCAGTTGTTTTGAAGTTGAACTAGGAAAGGTTCGTTCCTGTCTGCGGTTTGTACTTTGATTGTGTAAGCGTAAAATCCCTGCCAGACGAATTTTCGGTCATTACTTGTCAACGCCGTTTCGAAAAGACCTCATGGATTCACCCTTGATAGTAAACGAATCTAGGCTCTAGTGAAATATTTTACCCTTTGATTTGTGTATTTTTTTTGTTTTTTATTTTACAGTCCTAAGCTAAAGCTCTAGGTCCACTATCGGTACAAGACTGGTGGAGCCGATGGGGTTCTCTGCGTACAAGCCCAACTCATTCCAACCGCGGGAACCTCAACAAAAGTAGATGAAGTTAACAACAGAACTAAAATCAAAACTAAAATCAAAACGTAAATCAAAAAAAAATTTAGAAGAATTTCATATGTGGTCCAGATCCCGCTTCTCGCCCGTTTCCTTCCCTGTCACATCTTCCAAGTGACTTTTCCTAATCTCCGCTGAGATCAGAAGATGAGCTCTCAGCTAACCTTTGCTGTCGGTCGGTTTCCTGCTTTTTGTTGTGAAAGTTGTCGTAGACTTCACCAAGGACTGCCGAGTCCTCAAACTTCTTCTTCAGTTTCCAGAATTCTGAAACCCGATCCCTCCGCCATGGAGACGTCCTTCGCAGAGGCGTTCCTCGCCTCTTCGTCCTTTTTGTATGCAGCTTTGACACGGGAAAAGTCTGCATATCTTTCTTGCTCGACTTTGCGAATTGCTGCGAGCTATTCCTTGGTCACCGGTCCATCTTTTCTGGGTCTGGCTTGGCAGTGCCGAGAGTCTGATCGGTGAGGTCCCCAACAATTGCGACATCGTGTGAGGGCCTTGCACTCCACTTCCGAGTCCATATTTGAGCCGCAGTTCCAGCAAGCTGGAGCGCGGGAGTATCCGCGGCTGGCGTGATAGCCAAGACAACGTTTGCACTGTTCGAGTTGGTGACGAGGTCGGAAGAGCTTGGCAGCTCCAGAATCGTCGAAGAGGCAGAATCCAGGTCGGGGTGTGGACTCGCGAGAAAAGGGGGCTTGCCAGTTCTCGTGTGGCGCCCCAGGCTTGCAGTACCCGTGCGGACGGACAAGAAACGGAATCGATTTCGTCACTCGCGTGACTTCGTCAGCAACCATCTTTGCCGTGATCTCGATGGGACCTGCAAGTGTGTTTATTGTCACCGGTACGGTAGCAATTTGCAAGGCAACCAAATTTGACGCTGGTTCCAGTTTGATTCCAGATTCGCTCCGTGACATGGAGGAATCTAGGAGCTCTTTCCGAGCGAGTTCATTCTTTGCTGTCAGTGCAAAGCCTGTTTTGACCCGCTGAACCAACGTGATGTTGTAGGCAGCGGTACCAAGCACCTGTGACACAGCTAATCTTACGCCAGCTGGTGACAGGAGTCGGTGGGGGTGGTTAACTTTGAGGCGTAGAAAAAGTCTCGCGTCGGCTTTTGTCCTCGGATTGGCACTCTTTGCTTTGGGGGCGGGCGGTGCTGCCTTTGTAGTCGACGGCCCGGCGCTGCGGCCTAGACCTGCACGGGCTACTGTGGCCAAAGTCGTCTTCGGTGCCGGAGCCTGGATCGTCGAAGGGTTTTGAGCCCTAATTTCTGGAGCCCTCGTCGGAAGAGGGTCATTGGGGCGAGCAGGTAGAATCGGTTGTGTGGTCCCTAGGCCTGATTGTACAAACTGGCTAATGGCCGCTCCTAGGTAGACTTTTATGCCGTCTACGAATTCTTTTTTCTCGCCGATCGAAAGAGGCAAAAGTGCTGCTTCGACACTGCTGATTGCAGTCGAGCAGATAGCAAGGCGGGCCGTAATTTGCGTCGTATGCCGCTTTTCGGCCTCCATCACAGATTGCAGCTCAGGGGGATATTCCATCACAGTTGTCGAAGCTGCGCCTTTTGAGGCTGGCACGTCATTTTTTCCGGCAGGCAATTCTGCACGTTCGGTCGTCTTTTCTCTGACGACCTCCTTTCCTTTCCTGGAACTGCTTGCCTCGGGGGCCAGCTCGGCGGGTTTCGCGGTCTTGGGGCCATTGTTTTCTGCTCTGATAGGTTCAGAATCAGTCATCTCTTGATCGGGAAGTGTGGAAGACTTCGCAGGGATAAAGGCCTCACTCGCAAATAGGCTTGATAATTTTTGCGCGAGGCCAGATGTTTTTGCAGGAGCCCTTGGGCAGACTCTCGCGTTGTCCAAAATTGAGTTGGAGAGCTTTTTTCGAATAGGTGGCATGATGAAAATGTCAGTGACTCGATTACAATTTAGTGAGGGAATGCGACGAGCGCGAAAGGGAGGGAAAGGGGAAAAATGAAAGATTCTTGAAATTCGAATATAAAAAAATTGTGGGTGTGTGAGTTTATTGTGCTACTTGAGTCTATGACAATCTGGCACATTGGGCTCCTCTCTGACCCAGGCCACACCTTGTGCAGTGCTCCTATCCTCTCTTGTTACTTGAAATATCATTGATACATTCTCCTTCCTTTGATTTGTAAATACCATGGACACGTGTTAAGCATTCGTTCTCCGAATATAGTCAGGGTTCAGAAAGCTATGTTACTTATAACCAAACAAATAGGCTGCCAGTCAAGCTGATCACCTCAATTGAGCAACCTTTGACTACACTTTACAGCCCCATACCATCATTCATCGGCTTTTAGGATGCTATATTTCACGCAGGACGAAAGAAAAGGGATACACGCCTTGAACTATCATTGCGGAAAGATTACTATCGTCCCTGTCAATTTCTCCGGACTAAATCGACTGCTTTTTAGCTTCATTTCATACTGATTGAACGTTGATCAAAGTTATGTAACATCACGTATATTTGGGTTTAATAAAACTAGCGATAGGATTCAAAAGGATTCGAAATGATTTGACACAGCTGCGGTGGAAGATTATCGTTGAGAGCCAGCCCAAAATAGTGCTGGAACGTACTGTGGATGATGACTTAAATCATACATGAATAATTTAGCCAGACAGCTCGGGGTTATCAACTTAACCAGAATGAAAGAAGAACTATCACGGAAAGACGCTTAAACTGAGTTTAACAGATTGAGTTTGGAGAAATCACGAGCATACGTGTTTCAAGAAGATAGACTTACCTTGTGTAAGCCCAGGCTGCACCTGGAATTTTCAGGATGACATGCTTAAAATTTTTCCAATGTGTCTTTTGCATATCATACACCCAGAATACCGCAGAACAGTTCAACAAGCCCCCAGCGCCTCGCAGGAAATCCTGCCCAAACCCCATTACCGAGAATCCTGACCGATTATATGTAAGCTGTCTGGTTACAACGAAGCTACACAGAGCGGTCTATTCCTCCTTCCATAGTAACAGACAACAATTCCTTTCATAACCGCATAGAAATAAAGCCAGGATAGATTATCACATTAATGTCTGCGAGTTGTAACGTTGTAATCCCGTGTATGATTTTCTTGCTCCTCTATTTTTTAAAAGCAAAGCTTAGCAAGCACACCCAGGTGACTGAGTTCCAGGCGCTTCAGGTCTCAGCTCAACGCCGCGTCCAGCTGATCTAGGATTTCTTGGACCTGCTTGATCTAGCGGAAGCTTTTTAGCGATCGAAGTAAATAATTCAGTAACGTTTTCTGATGTTTTGGCCGAGGTTTCGAAGAATAAAAGTCCAGCTTCCTTTGCGTAAGCTTCAGCGTCTATAGTCGTGATTGCACGCTTATCAGGGTTGCTGGTGACCAGATCAAGTTTATTACCGGCTAAGGCTATGATTATGTTTTCGTTTGCTTGCCTTTGTAGTTCTTTCACCCATTGCTTTGCTTTATCGAGAGAAGACTATTGTAATGTTGTTAGTATCGATAGGAGTGTAGAATTGGGAGAAAGCTTACAGACTGTGTAATATCGAAAACTACAACGGCACAGTTGGCATTTCGATAGTACATTGGAGCTAGTGATTTATATCGTTCCTGACCGGCCGTGTCCCAGATTTCAAACTTAACAGTAGTAGTTTCGTCCAAGGAAATTGTTTGGGTCAGGAACGCAGCACCAATCGTTGATTCCCTGAAATCATCAAACTGATCCTTTACTGGAGTTAGTATAGCAAGCCAAAATTCGGAGAAGTTTAGCTGACTTTGACAAAGCGAAGTACCAGTGAGCTCTGAAATGCGGTTAATAAAGCCCAAGATTCAGATAATTTCACATACTTTTCCGACGGCAGACTCCCCTGTATAAGAATGTTAGAAATTGAACTAAGGTATAATTATTTAAATACTTACCGAGTAAGACTAACTTGAACTGCGCAAAACGGTTACCGCCACGGGAACTAGTTGGGGCTCGAGTAGCCATTATGAGATTGAGAACAACAGAGCAAAGACAAGGTTTCAAGAAATTCTATGAGACGGCGGAAGCTAATCGTAAAGTTTTGCTAACGCTGAATAATTTGAGGTAGAGGTATTGAACGGGACTGATGTGAAGCGGATGATGGCAGAGAAGTCGAATCGGTAACCTAAACTTTTGTCATGTGATATTGGGTACCCCTGTCATTTGTTAGCTTGAGTTACAGCCCCTCCGCATTTACTCGCAGCTAGTTGTATTCCTTGTCTCGAAGTTGTGGGCCTCCAAGAACCCCAAGCCCAAATCACACTGGCCAGAGGAAAGATTTGTGTCTACAATTCATTTACGCAATATGAAATCGCTAAGATGTGATAAATTTCTTCACCATATCACAAATATTAACGTCAAGATAAGAGACAAACTACTTTCGATAAAAGCTTGAAATGCTACCAATCATTGCTACTGATGTCATCTTTATATCACGAATTCTGAGCGGCGCTCATACTAGCGTCCAGGTTAGAATTAGTCCATATAACAAAAAATAAAATTACATCCAATATTAGAAAATTTGGCTAGAAATATAAGATTGATTTAAAATGCTGGTTTTGGCGAATGAGCGAAACCTCACATACAGCTTACTATTTTGACAGCTTCGGAAATCTGGATTTTTATAGTGCTGAATCTGTCATTCTGAGAACATCGAGTAATCAGAACCGACAAATACAATGTCAACCATCAATACTCAATGTCAAGAGAAATAAGATAGCAACTAGAGTGCTTGAGCTTCAATTTTATATGAATTAATATTTAAAAATTTAGCAAACCTGCTACTAGCACTACCTTCATTGCGCAGAGTATCACACAGACTGAACAAGTGAAAAAATTATACAGATATAACAATGTCAAAAAAATAACTGGCGCCTTAGATCCTGTACCAGCAGAGACTCAAAGTCAGGAAGATGTATATAAATATGGTTCAAAAATCAAAGTTGAAGTCTAATTAGTCTACGACCTATATAAAGCTCTTTCATAAATTTACTCACTCATTCTGTAGTTTAAGAATTGTGAGTAAGCAAGTTATGAATATTTACGTGTGTTACACAAAATACCATTTTCATCAAAGCTGCACAGCCTTCCATGCAGATTTTAATATCAACATAACATTATGAATCTAATTTTGTCTCCCAACTACCCATTACTAACCCCTAAACATATAGCCCAACAAAATGGCGGGTGCGAGTAAATCCTATGGCCTCGATAAATCGCAAAAAGTGACAGTAGCTAACAAACCTGAAAGTAGTGGACCGTGGACAGTCTAAAAATATAGAAGCCTAGTACTCCTGAGGAACTTGTTAAGGAAGATTGAACTTATGATCTTGAACGAAGTAGAAGAAGACTTACCTAGAATCTATGAGGTAAACTCAGCCGTGAAGGCTTCGAAACCTCATTAAAGACCGTGTAGAAATTAATCGGAAGGAGCTTTCTATGGAGGAAAAGGTGATTAAATTGGAGGGGAACGAAAAGAAGAGTCTCGCAGACTCTGCTCGAAATGCGGCACAAGCAGCGTCATCAGGGGCGACGGCCTAGAGAAAATATATGTAAGTTGTGGCTCCTTCATTGATAAAAGCAGCAATGTGCATAAGAATTTATAGAACTTGTAACTTACAGCCAAAGAAGTTGTTATCAAAGGTCAGGGAGCATATGCGATTCATCAGATACGAAGTAACGACACCGATATGCTCGTAAAATCGGCGTCCTAGAGAGAGGACGTTCTCAATTTCAAACATGAAGCAAAATTCAAAACTCGAAGGCAAGACTTTCTAGTCGAAATTTTCGGAACCCTTTAGAGGGAGGAAAAGATAAAAAAAATACAAACATTATCGGGATAGTTGTGGTAGCGACTGGTATCAGTATTTCTAGAGCAACAATTAACCGTATAAGTAATCTAGACATTTTAAAGAAACACCAGCGGTCGAAGAAACATGACTGAACCATAGGATCAGTCGTGATTAGCCTTCGGTTGGAAAGCGCAAGTGGAATCTGTCCAATATGACTGTTATTAACGCCATGTTCTACACGGCTCAGTCCTTCATAGTCACAGGCTCAGTAGGGACTTTAATTAAATTCTATTCTACACGGTTCAGGTGTGGTGACCAAGATGTCACCTAAAGTCATGCTTCAGCTATAGATAGTTAGGGAACAATTAAAATTTGTGTGGAAAGATATCAAAGCGTAGTGAGTGCACTAATAATTACCAAACTCGGGACAGTACCAATAAAAAGATTCTTGCGTAAACTACAGCAAGGAACAACATGCGTAGCAAAATACAGCTTATCGGGTCTACCATATCTCATAGGATTGAAGAGAAATCTTTGATGAGGCATCAATCACGAATAGCATATGTATGAATGGAGAAATTTATCGTTGTTTTAGTACGAGTTGTTGGAATTACAGACGACTAGGAGTTCACTTTTATCATCGGTAAAATAACTACTGGATTGGGACCGGGATTTCCATGAAGAGAAGTCATGGCTCCAGAGGCAATAAATATCATTTCGAAAAAAGCAAGGGTATCTAGGCTGACTCTTAGAACGCTTCAATAACTACCACTAAACGGAGAGATTCTTTCTCTCTTCAGCGTCTCCTCGGTTTAGTCTAATGAGTGAGCGAACTGAATTTGTGAAAATAACTATAAATTAATAGTTTAAAGGAACGTCCTTGGCAATAGTTTTTGTCTTTTCATAGTAGCTGGAGGCCGAGTTTTGCCGCTTAAAAGCATAATTCCCTTCATAACAGGGCAATCCACCTTCGTAGGCACGTAAACAAGACCTAAGTAGAATATTGAGCAAAATTCTTCAAATAAGTAAGAGACAAAATTCGTATTACTTACGTTTCAAGGGTGATCTTTTCGCATTTACTGCTCACAATTTTCTGATGCCATCAAAGATCCAATAAAAATCTAACACAACTAATCTGTGGAAATAATCACTGCGAATTCTAGCCAAATTAGGGATAAAAAAGAGATTCGACCCGAAATATTAGACTCACACGATATTTCAGAGTGGTTAATAAGAGCATAGGTATACATTGGCCAGACGTAGAAACACGATGGTTGAAAGCCTATCATTTGTGAATCTACGAACTTTGGGACTCATCATCTCACTAGCACCAGGATTGCGAAGACTTAGCGGCTAGAATGAATTCTGCTGGCTTTGTTTAAGACGGAGATCCGATATTGAATGATTTCACGACTTCTTGAGTCAATAAATTCAATTTTTTTACCTCAAACACGAATCACGAATGAGCTAAAACCATCATAAAATGTATATACAGCCTCGACTCTGATAGTGCCAACTTTTCCGTAGAGCTCTACGACATTGAGACACATCCTTACGGTACACCTCAAACATTCAAAAGGTCTAAATCGACGTCAGTTTTACGAAGAGACCCCCATCCTCTTACAAATTTAATGTAATGTAATGCAAAGGTACTGTCATGAAGCTGGCCTGGCTGTAACTGCATCTCGACCACAGGGAAAGTGGCAGTGTTATTTCGCAAGAGCTTCAATCAGTAAATTGCACGAAATCAATGTTGTCAGTCTCCTGATCCAAAATTATTTTCTGCAAAATGAAGCTACGCAGTGGAGAGTACGGTCGCAACGGCGTAATTTGGGTTACTCGATAGTGACGAAGTCTCGATTTTTGAAAGATTGGTCAGAAGGTTGACGATATACCATACAAGGAGAGAAAGGGAAAGAAAAACAGAGAAGACCCATGTGACTGATTAAATTTGGTTCTCCGACCAGAAAATAAGCCATTAATAGTGAGAAGTGCTGTATCTGGAATCTAAATTAAACGACTCATTGAGAATTGAGAGGGTGGAACTCAGGTTTCCACTTGCACACGCTTGGTCGCAAGCATAGTGAGACTTGGTGCAATGCAACAAATAAAGTATGTCAGATTAGCCATTTATCGGGTCAAATTTCTTGAATTAGATGGCAACAAGCCTGATCTTTCCCAGCCTCCTGCTATCAAGGTTCAAAGAGTGGCAGGACATAGCAGTATTACATCATTCATGGTGGCCTGAGAAGCTTGAGGACCCATCTCACTCGGTGTAAGGGTTCGCTGATTGTATTTCAGTATAACTAGTATGATTTTCTTGTATTTTGCTCGGTATTTATTGTGCTACTTGAGTCTTTGACAATCTTACACATTGGGCTCCTCTCTGGCCTGGACCAACCTTGTACAGTGCTCCTATCCTCTTTTTTTACTTGAAAGATCACTGATATATTGCCCGTGATGAATAGCTATTCAGCTCCGTGTTGACCCGTGGAATTCAGCCACCTTAACCACGGAACCTTCTACCCAAAAAAAAATGGTAGCAATGGAAACTGCGTGCGCGGGAAAAAGTTTCAAAAAACCTGCAGCCCCAGCCAGCCGAGGCCTAGACATCGGGACCACAGGAGGTGCGCGTATTCATCTATATCTCACTTCTTTGTAACATTAATAGCCAATTTGATCCAATCCACAATCGCGGTATCGGGCGCTGGGTACGCACCAGAAACTCATCGGGTAGCTTTTCCTCCATGATCAAGGGCTGATTGTGAGAAGGGCTTCTACCCTGACATCTAATCGCGAAAGCGATTAGTAATCCCCATGCTAGTGAGGACTTTGTTACCCAGTCTGGGCTCTACAGACTCTGCAGTGAGAGCTGGAGGCTCGTAGGGGACACCACTGACAGGTGTTGAGTATCTTCTCCCTCCGCTTCCCTCTTGGGCTGGTTCGAACTACTTTATATACATTGAGCTTCCTAGATATGTTTAATTGATGCGACTGATGCGATAACTCATGCGCTCCACTTTTGATGCAATGCATACGACTATGGTATAGCGGGGCAGAGGTTTAGGTTGGTATGCAAGGGTCTACAGGGGTAGGAGAGGCCTTGCAGTGATCATATCGTTTCTCGTTGAGTAAGCACTAGTGGACCCATCCCATATGCCAACTGCTCGGTCTGTCAGGATTCTAAATAAACGCCATATCTCGCTACACGTTATAAAAGTCAAAATCCCTCTCCACGCGATAAGGCCATGATGACGCTTTTCTCCAATGCCTTAGTATTTCCCTTTGTATTCAACGAAAAGTTATGAAGGAGCTCCTTCAGGCCTTGACACATGATCAGCGCCTAGAGAAGATTCAACGATTCTTTTGGTCTCATAGATACATAGACTCGAATTCACTCGCGACAGCTACTACGTGTTATATTTTCCGATATAGATAGCCAGTCATTGTCGGTGATTTTTCATCAATGGAAAATTTCGAAACCTGTAGCCATTCAAGCTTGCCTTTATCTTCCCGTATACATAATAGCAGTTAATCTGATCGAGTCTTATTGGAACCGAGAGATAAATCATTCACCTTCAGTGAAATAGGTTACCATGCTATCTACACAGTACATGAGAGGCCAGCACTTATGAAAAGCTACTTTTACATCTATTAGAAAGTTCATTGCGGTATTGGTTGATTTATGTGATATTATGGTCATATGTAAGTACGCCCTGTGTCACCAAGACCCTTTACATATATCTTTGCTGGTCAGGTTAGAAAGCGGCAATGAATCTGATGGGCTTCGCAAAACTGAGGGCACCCTCCCGGGCCTTTGATAAGGTTAAGAGCTCGTACTTCTCGTATATGGCTTGTGACTCGACTCAAATTTGCCTTTAGGAGGGCAAGACTGAACACCTGTACGCGGTGTCCTCTACGAACCTGGGAGTGAAATATTCTCCCAGAGCCAAGTTCTGTCAAATTTCGCAATATCAAAGAAGTTGGCCCACGAGGCAAAAATTCAAATTACTCCACCATGTCAATCTTTCACTCCCAAAGAGTCCGATTCTCAACTAAGCTTCATCAAGTCTACAAGTACGACATAGTACATCCTCACCCCAATGACCATACTGTGTGGAGGAGGGAAAGACTGAACACCTGTACGCGGTGTCCTCTACGAACCTGAGAGTGAAATATTCTCCCAGAGCCAAGTTCAGTCAAATTTCGCAAAATCAAAGAAGTTGGCCCACGAGGCAAAATTTAAAATTACTCCACGACGTCGTTTTTCCGCTCCCAACGAGTTTGACGCCTACCTAAGTCTTATCAAGTCTACAAGTACGACCTAGTACATCCTCATCCCAATGACCACACCTCTCTTCGACCTTCTCTGGTCTCAGTTGACCACCAAATACACGCCCACGCCGATATTTATACCCGACGGAGGAAGCAAAGCGTGGCGCACAAATCTGGGAGACAGTTCTTTGGGATGGACGTGAGAGGGATCAGGACAAGTTTACAAGATGATGCAAAGGAAGGATATAACCTTGGAGGGAGTGAAATTCCAAATTTTGGCAAGCAGTTTTACGAATTGAGCTTTGTGCGCGCTAAGACTTCGCTTGTGAGAGTGCAGCTGACACTATAAAAACAAGCCAACGATGGAAGATGTCGTGGTCCGCCTCCTGGTGGTGTTCTCTGGTATGGTTTGAGTAGCCTGGGCACCTACTCCACTTGGGAAAGAGACACCTCAGATCACATATCGCGCGGAGAATAGTTGAAAGATGATGAAGGCATGTCTGGATAACTCAGGGTTTTTGAGAGGTTCCCCTGGGTGGGTATTCACGGATGAGGGTTGACTTGGGGTGAAGAAAAAGCCACCATAACTTCGCAGTGGTACTTGCAAATGAAATCTGAGGCATGAGTGCTCTTCCTTTACGTTGAATCATCTATTCTGTACTTTTCTTTGATATTGTGTCATAGCTAGATAGCTGCATACGCAATTAAAATCTGATGCAAAAAAAAAAAAAAAAAAAAGACCACACTGTGTGAACTGGCTCACAACATGTTATGTACAAGGGTCTAGTTGAGACTTTTCCTTATATGGAATAGCGTTTAGCTAAAGGTAAGAATGTATTTATAGAATTCCTCCCGGCAGGGAGAAGAAGCAGGAATGAATTGAGTAACCCCACACGAGCTTGTGAATTGACCATTGGTAGTGTTCCGACACACACCTCTCGTCGACTTTCTCTGGCCTTAGTTGACCGCCAAATACACGCCCACGCCGATATTTATACCCGACGGAGGGAGCAAAGTGTGGCGCATAAATCTGGGAGATAGTACTTTGGGATGGACGTGAGAGGAATCAGGACAAGTTTACAAGATAATGCAGAAGGGGGATACATTTTCGACGGGCGTGAAATTTCGAATTTTGGCAAGAGTTTTACGAAACGAGCTTTGTGCGCGCCAAGACTTCGCTTGCGAGAGTGCAGCTGACACTATAAAAACAAGCCGACGATGGAAGGTGTTGTGATCCGCCTCCTGGTGATGTTCTCTGGTATAGTTTGCGCAGCCTGGGCACCTACTCCACTTGGAAAGGAGACATCTCAGATTATAATTCGCGCGGAGAAAAGTTGATGGATGACGGAGGCATGTCTGGATAACTCAGGGGTTTTTGAGACGTTCCCCTGGGTGAGTATTCACAGATGAGGGTTGACTTGGGGTGAAGAAAAAGCCGCCATAACTCCGCAGTGGTACTTGCAAATGAAATCCGAGGCATGAGTCCTCCTCTTGTAAATTGAGTCATCTTTTCTGTACTTTTCTTTGATATTGTGTCATAGCTAGATAGCTGCATACGCAATTAAAATCTGATGCAAAAAAAAATTAAAATTGCCTTTGGTTGTATTGAATTGCAGGTTTCTGTCATACTTAGCTATTATTTTTGTGTCGGATCTTAATTACGTATGCAGCCATCTAGGTATGACAGATGATAGGTGCTACCATTCCTGACAATTTTCGAAAATCCCCACATCACCCTTCTCCCCCCTCTCGCGCTTGTCGCATATATTCGGAAAATTGATATCGGGCTTTCAGCACTCTTATCATACCGCCTATTCGGTGGAAGCGTCCCAACGCGATATTTGACAAAACGGGCGACCACCCGATAGCTCTCGATTAAATAACGGGCAAGGCCACAAGTAAAGGGAGGGAAACCCCCTTCCCACAATCTCTGCGCCAAATACTGACATGTTTCGACCACTCGAAATTGTTGAGGAAATTCCTCCCCCAACCTTCATCTCCCATGGGATTGGAGAGTCATCAAAATCTCTGACCGCATCAAAGCTATCGGAGAACGCACTAAAAGCAGCGCCAAAATCAACGTCCCAGCCAAAAGCCGCCGCCATCTCTGGCATCGAATAAACTCTTCTCCCATTGACAAATGGAACGAATAGACAATTTGCAGACTCCATGAGAGTCTACCTACGCGCTGCTATAGTGCAATTCATGGCCTCGGGCCCGACTACTACGCCACCCGTTCTCCCTCCTCGCCCGGCGAACTCTCCTCTGAGAGCTCCCGACGCCATGAGCCCCATTACACCCGTCGTCCCAGTGCTGCCTGTCAAAACCGCCCGGACTATGGTAGCTAAAAACGGACTGCCACAAAAAGGAGGCCCATTAGTGAAGGTTGTGCCGCGACCTGTGGCCAAAGTCCCAAAGAAAGACGTTCCGAAGGCAGAAGTCGACAGACAACTTTTCGACAGCCTCGGTAGCAACCACCCGTGGCGCAAGCTCTCGCCTGAATGCGCACGACAAGAATTAGAGCATGAGATGAGGTGCATCGTAGGTGACTCTTACTCGTCCCATCGAGTCAGAACCGGCTTTGTGATTCTGGAAAAGAATGAAATCAAGAG